TATATGTGTGGATATCTACATGTATACGGGTGTTTTGTAATTTACTTTACAAAATATGGGAGAAAACTCCCTTTATAAGTACCTATAATTTGTTCAAACATAATACTCACTAAGCAGAATTAAGTTTTCAAAAAATCTTATATAACTTTATATTTAGAGTGAGTAACATCATCCAGACATCTTTATTGATTTTTTTTATAAAGTTTAATTTTCTGTTAGCATCCTTTTCTCTTGGGAAAGTTAATATATGTGACACACATATATAATATATACATTTACTACACATGAGTCCGTAAAATATTCTTTAATATTGTCTTTATTTGCAAAAGACAAATGGCAATAACATTCTTTAATGCCACTACCAATTACATACACACAGAATTCTTTGTAATCAGAATGGGACCATCTTGGTGCTACTCACTCTAGCACTGAGGGACAGTTTTTCTGTACAGAAGAGTTAATTTTCTTTTTATTAACTGAGAGCTTTCTTCTCCTTGTATATGCATTACTTTTTATTTTTTTTTTAATTGAAGAAACATTGGTTTAATAATGTATATGACTCTGAGGTATTGGCTCCCACCTCTTGAGATGTAACTTACCACACCCACCACCAAGGTACCCAAAACCCTCCTCCAGAGTTCATTGCGCCCCCTCACATCTTCCCTCTTCCCACTGATGGCCTCAACTTACAGTCAGATTTCTAGGACTTGTCTTTGGTTTGGTTTTGTCTGACTCTTTGTTTTGTTTCCCATCCTTCTGTTTATAAAGTAGAATTTAATGTTACAAAGCCAATATAGTTTAACCAATCGTGGTTTTTACACACTGCTGCCTCAGTTTAAATCTCTCTCATTTGGACATTCTTTTTTTGACGAGACACTTTTTTTTATATTTTAATATAGATTACTTTAAAAGGTAGTTTGCTAGATTAAAACTAAAAAATGAATTACTTTTTATAATATTTTTTGTTTTGTTTTACTTCTACAGGAATAGTGATAAGTAAAACTCGACTTTAATTCTATAGATGAATTATATAGCTTATTGTTCCCTTTTGATGAATGCTAAAAAAAATTCTAAGATAGGAAAATGAATTTAAAATTCAGATTTTATTATTCACCTGTGAGGACAAAAGAAAATACATTATCAGTCAAATAAAAAGAAATAAAGTATAACTTGCACACACTGTCTGAATTGCTGATGAATTGTTCCACAAGCAAAATATAAATCAGAATAAAGGACTCAGAAAAGAGAAATATGAGTATTGTAAATAATCATTTCCAATGTGGGTGTGAAATAAGAATAAAATAATATGTACAGGCATGTGTGCATATACACATTTTTGTGGCCAAAGTGTGTGTGCATGAGGAAGCTGAAAGTCCATAATTTTTTTAACAAGACATAACTGTGTGAAGTTGTACAAATAGCAGAAAGTTAAGAAAATTTTCTTTATCAGTTATGACACATTCTAAAAATATAGAAATTGAGACCAGAAGATAGAGACAAGCAGAAACCTTAATATAATACTTACAGCCAGATCAAGTATATATTGAATCTTAATATGTAACAGAGATGCCAAGGTGGATCAGCAGGGGGCACAGCAATAGTGGGAGGACTGGTTTCCACACATGGTACATACTACATACATACACTGACTAAAGGACAATTTCTGAATGGTCCTTGGGGTAAATTGGGGTATTTATGATAAACTTTATTTCCTTAAAATAGAATCTCCTTTATCAAAAATGGGTTATAAAAAAATGAAAGGCCAAGTCACAAACTACACTTGATCCCAGGAAGGGATCAAATCACAAAACATTGACACACAAATAAATGAGAAAAAGACTTGTATCCTGAATATAAAAAGTCCTAGAAGTCAGTAAGACACATAACCAGGTGTAATAAATAGGAAATGTGAAGGGCTAATCGACTTATGAGAGATGCTGACCTTAATTAATAATCAGGAAAATGAAATGAAAACTATTGGAATAACATTTTACAACCACAAAACTGAAAAATATTTAACAGTGTGACATTACTGGTGTCCTCAAGGATCTCTATACTCTGTCGATGGTATTGTCTTTTTGAAAAACTATTTGCCGTTATTTGAAGGGATGCCTCCCTTTTATTTAAGAATTCCATTCTTGTGTATATAAAGACCTATAGCTTCTTGTGCAGGTGCATGCACTGAGAGGTATAAAAAGTATTATTTCTTACAGTGATAGAGAGCTGAAATGATTATAAAAATGACTGAACAGCAGCTGCGTGCAGTAATGTGGGTGACTCTCAAAATCATTCAAACTAATTAATACATCACTTAGTGATCTTACATATGTGAACTTTGAACATGAAATGTGAATGCTATTTAAATAGCAAGAAACTAGCAAATACAAAACTTCAGCAACAGGGACCCCCGAAGAGCATGCAGGTTAAAAAGCCAATGAGAGGCACATAGAGAGCTGCAGAGGTTTTTGTGAAGTTCTATTAAGCTGGTCGTTGGGTAAATATTTGTTATTCCTTAAGCTACAAATAGATATTTCATGAATTTTAAATGTATATGATATACACTATGCACAATATATAATTAATAAAATGCCTTTAATAAAAAAATGATAAAATGCCCTTCATGGTCACTGGAAACAATATATGGCAAGCACGTTGTCTGCACCACTGGTGATTCTAAAGAAATATTCACACTGTTCATGCTATCAGGGTCATAAAATAGAATGTTTTCCACCAAATTAATACAATGATCAATGGCAAAAGACAGGTAAGAGTATGACTGCTTAAATTACAAACTTTCTGAGAAGTATTTTGTAACATTCATTATTTCAAATATACATATGCTTTGACTCAGCACATTTTTAGGAATATATTCTTGTAGCAATACGACTATAAAGGATATCGATGAATAAACAAGGGTGCTTACTGCCGCCACCGTAACACCACAGTCAATTTTATTTATTTAGTTATTTATTTATTTTTAAAGATTTATTTATTTATGCATACAAGAACTGGGGTACAGGCAAGAGATGCAGGGAGGTGAGAGGATTCACCAGAGACAGAGTGAGGAGCAGAACAGGCAGATTGATCGAGTATACTGCTGAGGGGAGCAGCAGCTGAGTCAGGAGAGGTCTGCTGCGCCGTGTGGGTTGCTCCCTGGCTGGGCCGGGGAATTGAACTCATGCTGCAGAGGCTGTGCACAGCTCCATAGATTGCGTCTTTACCCCTTGCGTTACCATGGAGGCCCCCACAGTCAATTTGAAAAAAAAGATAATAAAACCTCTATCCCTTTAATACCGACTAATAAATAGAAGTGTTAAAATAAATGAACCATTATCCAGCTGTTAAATAAAATATATAAATGAATATCTCTAGGTCTACCTATATCTATAATGATATCTCATAGTTAAATGTCATAATAAATAATAAGAATTGCTTTTATAATTCTCAGGCTGCTTTTTTTTTTTTTTTTTTTTTTTAGAGGCATGTTTTTATTTATTTATTTGTTTGTTCATTTGTGTTTTTTTGTTTATACATGCACTGGGTACAGTCAGAAGCGCGGGAGGGTGAGAGAATTCACCAGAGCCAGAGCGGGGAGCAGAACAGGCAGAAGGACCGAAGCACACTGCTGAGGGGAGCAGCGGGCGGCAGGAGAGGTCTGCGCACCATGTGGGACCCTCCTCCGGTGGCCGGGGAGCAGCCGGGAATCGAACCAGCGCCATAGGGGCTGCGGGCAGCTCCGCAACCCAGCGCTCCACCGCTGCGCCACCGGGGAGGCCCTCTCAGGCTGCTTTTAAAAATACATTTCTCAGCAGCTGCTGAAAGAAATGCTGCCCTCTACCTGGTAGCGGGGGATGGATTCCTTTGCACAGTCCAGCGAGAGCCGCAGAGGGGGCGGGAGAAGCACCTGTTCCCACTCCGTTGCCTGGAGCGTGAAGGAATGCAAAAGATATTCATCATCGCCTTCTCTTACGCTTAGGATCACGGACAGATCAGGCTGTACCTCGAAATGGGGAGGGGGTGAGGGAAGGAGGAACGCGTAGGAGGATTTGGATACTGGCCCTCAGAGGTTTTTTGCTGTCCTATCAGGGAAGGCTCTTCCTGGAATAACTGAGCAACTGATACTACTACTTTTGACAGGCCTGACAGTAATTAATAATGGGCTTTGTACAGGGTGTTGTTTTCAGTGGGACACCACCTTTAATGCCTGGATGACAGCAGGACACAGTCGTATGGAAATAAAAGACCAAGTAGGGGTCAAAGGCTGAAGGAGCCGCAGTCCCGTTGAGTTGTCTGCCTCTAGGGATTTGGTCAAATTCCTAATGCCATTAAACTTTGTGATAGTTGAGAATTAAACAGAGAGAGTAAAGACTGCAAGGCAGGGCTGTGATTAGGGTTAAATGATACCAAGAAATCCTCCTTCACAAAAGATGACAAAAGTCCCACTTATTTCATGACAATCCCTTGATTTTAGTCAAAGGAATTAATAATTCTAGAACACTAACCAAACTCACTTCAGTGATAAAGACTAGTGTTGGGGGGATTTTTGGGCTAAGGGTTAGATGGATACTTCCTTGAGTATATCTTTTTTTTCTTTGAAGAACTGGGGTGTAGGCCACAGGTGAGGCGGGGAGAGGATTCACCAGAGACAGAGTGGGGAGCAAAAAAGGCATATTTATTGAAATACACTACTGAGGGGAGCAGAGAACGCGACAGAGGGGCCTGCTGTGCCATACGTGCATCAGCTCCTTGGCCAGGGAATGGAACTCAGGCTCCAGCGGTGATAGTGCTAAGAATTAACCCCTAGGCCACCAGGGAGGCCCCTAAATGTATCTTTTAGAAAACCTATTCTGTGTGGATGTAGCATCTGAGGAGAAATGTGTGCTTATGGAGCTTCTTCACTGAAACCTGTTCTTTCCTCCCAATGAATCCTTCAAGTCACAGAACCCCTATGTCCATCCCCATGCTTTCAACTGGTAATACCTGGAAATTCTCTTGATTAGATGCCCCTCCTGGACTGCCAGTTCCTCAAGGGTTACCGGGAGCAGCGCCTGGCCCACCTGGTTCTAAGTGTTATTACCATGGGATATGTCTGGCAGGAAGGAGAGAAACAGCCAAAAGAGGTAAGGGACCCCTAGACGCCTGGCTTGTCCTCTGGTGGGTAGACTGTCCCTGGGGTGAGCTTTCTGCTTGCCACTACCCTGCTTCCTGGAAAATGGGTCTTTTCTTTGAGTATCAGTTGAAGGAAGTTGTGAATGAAGGGTCCATTTAAACAGAAGACTTTTTCTTCTGATTAGGAGATTATTTTTTTTCTTTAGAATGGGTAGCTTTTTCCTCCCTTTCATTAGCTTTCAAAAGTATTTTTGACTCCCTCTCTCAAGAATGTTTGAAGAGTTACATTTGAAGGCAAGTTCTGAGCTCTGAACACTTTGCGATAGTTTACAGTTTATAGCATTTTGTACTCCTATACAACATCTGTTACCCCGGTAGATTTTCACAATTCCATAAGGTAAGTGAGCCAAGCGGTGCCCATTTTACAGACAGCTGAGAATGGAAGTTCAGTACCTTGTTCAAAATCAGAGAGAAAGTTAGTGGAAAATCAAAGGAAGGACTCAGACCTGATTTCCCTTAATACAGTCTTTTCCCAGAAGCACACATTGACATTTATAACACTAATTCTTAACTGCTTTTTATAACTGTTTGCTCTCTACTGATTATTAGTCTCTCTTAATACTTTAAATCTCTTCTGAATCTTTGCATAATTCTATATTGTTTCAACCTGAACCTGAGATGGGAAATCTTTAATTTTCCCTAGCCACAGAATAAACAACCACCTACTTACGTTTTTTACACATGTACTTTTTCCCAGAAATCAGAGAGCTATCCTTGTTCTAGAACTTCATAGTTAAGTGAGCAGCCTGTGCCTCTTTGATTTCCCTGGCTGACCTCACCTCTTACTTTGCAAGTAAACACAGGTGAGACTACCTGGGAAGTAAGGGAGGGGTGAAAGAAGAGGAAGAAAATTATAGAAAGGGAAAGCACATGTTTCTAAATGTCTGTACATCTAAATTTAAAAAGTTGTGCATCTGATATGGGAAAACTTGAAGTGTAGACACAGGACAGAACATCCCAACAGGTTCTCCTGTTCATCTACTTCCAACCCACAATGCTAAACTGGTGGAAGGGGTTGAGAAGGGTGATGGAGATGTGGGGGAGAGGGGAGGGAGTCTCTAACTTCAACGTATGTCCTTGAACCTCCACATTGCTAGAGAGCTCCCCTCTCCCCATCTTGGCTTAGCTCTTATTTTCTTTGTATCTCCTGCTCTGACTTTTCAGGCAAACAGAATCCTCACCCCTGCCCCACTGCCCTTCTTATCCCCTGCCCCCTAAGGAAAGCTGACTTGAGGTTTAATTTTTAAAACTTTTTAAAGCTTTGACCTCCATAAAGAGGTAAAGTAAACTAAGGGAAATTCACAACTGTAAAACAATGAGTTTGGTAGAGAAAATGCAATTCAGGTTGTGAAACTATAACAAGTGATGGGAGGGGCTGTTGGGTTGGGGATAGGCTCCATCTATGGGTGGTGACAAAGGGGTGAGTCAAATGAAGAACCACCCTGAAAATTCCTTTTTTAAGGATTTATTTATTTATGCATACAAGAACTGGGGTACAGGCCAGAGTTGTGGGGGATGAGAGGATTCACCAGAGACAGAGTGGGGAACAGAACAGGCAGATTGACTGAAGTACACTGCTGAGGGGAGCAGCGGGCAAGTCAGAAGAGGTCTGCTGCGCCATGTGGCTACAGCCATTTGATCCTGGCGGGGATCGAATTCGTGCTGCAGTGGTTGCGCACTACTGCGTCTTAACACCTTAACCCCTTAACCCCTTAACCCCTTGCACCACCAGGGAGGCCCCACCCTAAAAATTCCCCTAGGGAGAAAACAAAAATGAGAGATGAGGATGGTTTCACAAAATGACTGTGCATCTGAGCTGGTTTTCTTTCTTTCCAGAAATCAGAGAGATATCCTTGTTCTAGAACTTCATAGTTAAGTGAGCAGCCTGTGCCTCTTTGATTTCCCTGGCTGACTTCACCTCTTTGCAAGTAAGCACAGGAGAAACTACCTGGAAAATAAGGAAGGGGTGAAAGAAGAGAAAGAAAATTATAGAAAGGGAAAGCACATGTTTCTAAATGTCTGTACATCTAAATTTAGATGCAAGAAAACCAGCTCAGATATACAATGCTCCATTCAGCCATTTTGTGAAACTAGCCTCAACTCATCATTTTTGTTTGTCTCTGTATTAAGCATTTACAGAAAAGTAGTCTCTCAGTCCTTACGCTTTATTTTTCTGAGGTCATGTATATGCAATTTTCCATTTTGTATCCTCTGACTTTATTTTAGATTGAAATGCTGTCACAGAGCTCTTCGTTGTTTTCAACCTAGCTGGTCCTATGGAGCCTACAGCTTTTCTGGATTTGAGGGCATATACACAGTTCTTCAGAGTGTTCTTGAAAGTTGGGGGTTGAGTGGGGACTTCTTTGAAGTTGTTATTGTGTTTTATTGATGAAGTGACCAACAGTCTGCTGCCACATAAAGTTAAGTGTCCCAGCCTTCCAAGCCTTCTCTTTGAGTTCACACATATACATGCATCTATAATATATACATGTATATATGTGTATGTGCTTTTACTTTCATACCAACATACAGCTGTATCTATGTGTGTGTGTGTGTGTGTTTGCACATGTGTGTATTTGAAGAGAGAGAGGAGGGTTCTTTTTCCCATTGCTCATCAATTTAGCCCCTAATTCATCCTTATATGGTAATGCCCTCTGTGCATTGCCAATTTTGGCAGATCATTTTAAACTATATGTATATGTGTCTATGTGTCCAATTTTTAATTTTTTACATACATTGCAGATTATGCTCATAAAACAATAGATCAGCAAGATTGTTAACAGAAAAAAATATGGGAGTGAATTAGTGATGTGCAGATCTCACATAAAATTCCAGTTTTTTCCCCAGGTCATTTCTCAACTCAGGATTACAAGATTAGATGACAAAATAATGCTTCCTTTACTGCATTCTTTTTTTAGAACATTCTAAGTATCTGGGTTTGTATCTGAAAGGTTCTGCCACAGAATCTCGCCCTTCCCCTTGCTGAAGTCTCCAGGAGCTTGGGGGTCCCACCTATACTGGCCCACTCTGACTTGGTGTTGGCAAACTGGACTCTGAGGAACCCTGAAAGGTGAGCAAGGACAGCTGGTTTAGTTTGAACAGATGGAAACTCTGTAAGGAGCAGTCTTGTGACTTTTTCTCTTCCACAGGAAGGTCCAGGTTTTTCCAGCTATTTTGTGATTAGAGATGAGTATCCATATTTATTGCCTGCTTTATGATTTGAAACTTGAGCACAAGTTCAAAAATCACAGTACCCAGAAGTTTCCTCTTTTTTTTTTTTAAAGATTTATTTATTTATTTTTACAAGAACCAGGGTACAGGCCAGATGCATGGGAGGGTGAGAGGATTCACCAGAGACAGAGTGGGGAACAGAACAGGCAGACTGACTGAAATACACTGCTGAGGGGAGCAGTGGGCAAGATGGGAGAGGTCTGCTCGCCATGTGGGTTTTTCCAAGGCCAGCGGGATCAAACTGGCGCTGCAGAAGATGTGGACAGCTTCACAGCCTTGCGCTCAACTGCCTATGCCACTAGGGGAGGCCCCAGAAGTTTCCTCTTAACCTATCCTGAATACTTTTATGCAAACCACTTTTTCTGGTTTGCTTTCACAACAGACCTTACCTTTCTCAACCTGACCTTCAATCTCCTACTGATTCTCTGTTGTCATGTCATTTGCTAGTCCCAAACATAGGGTCGCTATTTGAGTCAAGTGGGACAGGAACTTCAATAAGTGATCATATATGATAATCATAAATAAATGATATAGGTGAATTAAGGGTAAATGTTCTAGATATATCACGTTTATAATTTGATGAATAATGCTGTTTATTTCAGCTGGGTGACATCACCTCTTTGACAGTTGTACTGGGAATTTAGGCCACTGTCTAATGGAGAAACAGCATGAGTTTTTACAAAGCAAAAAAGTCCGATAAATAGAATGGGGGGGGGGAAGAGATGAATTATTACCTTTCCCTTTGAATGCATTATCACAATCAAACTCATTTCAAGAGATAGTGACTTAGTAAAGAATTATTAAAATAGCTAAAGGGACATTTTTGTTGGATGTGAGGAAGAACTTTCTGAATGTAAGATTTGAGGGTAATCACGGGAACGCCAGAAGAGAGAGCAGGGATGTGCTTTGCAAGACTAAACCCCTGATAAACAACACAGCTCCCAGGACCAGTTTATGTGCCTCTTCTCTCTCTAAGGACCAGCGTTTTGTGTTTTCTATAAATTAGTATCTATGGCTAATTCTTCTCTAAAAACAAACTTGGTGATCTTTATTCCTATAAAAAGCTGCTGAATCTGTTTAGAATTGGAAAGAAAGAGATAATAGATACATGTGCAGAAATCATTCTAGTCAAGACATTCAATATTGAATAAGCTGAATTTCTGTTTCAAGGAGAGAAAGGAGCAGGGGACTTTGAAGGGGAAATGATTGTACTGAGGAAGTAAAAGTACACAAAAAGCAAGTTTCTCGGTGAACGAGCGTGCAGGGCTTAGATTTACCTCAGAGAGGCAGACAGTTCTGGGGCTCAGGAGTTGTTCTTTTTAATGATTTGTTTTGGAGTCTTTTAATATGCCAAGTTGCACGGAGCTAGGTGTTAGGGAGAAATTAAAGAAAGGGTAGCAAAGCACATCCACACTGGTTAATTCACAAGACAGAGGATTGTACAAAAAATGTGAAAGAATGACAAGCAGTAAACCCTTTAAAATTTAAAAAAAAATTGAATGCAGGCTCTAAAAATTAGAAAAAACTCGCTGAGGGTTGGCACTTGAAGTCGGTGCTAAAAGCTGAGTAGGAGTGGAATAGATAACATCCATAATGACGGTTTGTGGTATCTACAAAAATGAAAAAGGAGTAATTTAATTTATCAGGTTGGTCACAGGCTGGATATGGGGCTGGGAATGAGCAGAAAGTCTTTACAATGTGGGAAATTTACTCAGTGACCCACAGTCTGGATGCAACTTGTGGTTTCTGAGCCTGTCCACAGATGTGTGTGTCTGCTTGTGTTTGCGTGCAAGCATCTGTGTGTCTGCAAGTGTAGAAAGTACATCCTATCCCACTTGACTCAAATCTTACAAATTGATTTGTTCTTTTCTTTTTTTTCTTCATGGTTGTCAATAACTGACTTTTGACTAGACCTCTGGAAATCAGGTAAGTTCTCATAAATTCTTCTCCCACATTAGAATCCATCCTAACTTTAAAATTTGACCATGACAAAAAAGAAAGCATATACACTGTATGTATAGTATGTGAAACTATATAAAAATGCATGGAAAAAAAAGACTAGAAAGAAATGTGCCAAAAAAATAAGTGCAGGAATTGACAATGGTTGACTGTGCTTTGAGGGAAATTAGGGGGTTAATTTTCTTTATGATAGTTTTCAGGAACATTGTAATGGGGTGTGACTGGCTTTGTGAAAAACCAGCCTTACTTGCCACTTGCTCATCAGCTGTTCCTTGGGAAGCAGGAAGTCGGGGAATAGGGGAAGATAGTCTAGGTCTGTGGGGATCATGCTAGACTTTGAGAATCTTCAGTTTAGGTGGACATGGGCTTGAATATATCCGTTCTCTTTCCTGAATGTCCTGAAGGTAGGTCCTCAAGGGTGTCATGGAAATAAGAAAGTCATTCCCGATTCCTCCTTGGAGTTGCAGTTGCCTAATGCTGAGGGAACCTATGGGCTGTGTGTACCCACAGTTTCTAAAGCTCTCTAATTGTGTGCTCATCTCCTTCCCAAGGAACTTGGACACCATTGTCTCCCTACCTGGGGGAGACAGCCTACGTGGTTTTGTTCTGGTGACTGTTTTGGTGGAGAAAGCAGCAGTACCTGGGATTAAGGTATTGCTCACTCCCGGCATTTTTGTTTTTCCTAAATTAAAAATCAGTCTGAGCTTCCCTTCCCATGCAGTCTGTTCCCCTGCAGGGGATTAATCAATGTAGATGAAATAAGGCCGGTCTTTCTTGGTTTAAGTCTGAGAAAAGAGATCTGAGTTCCAGACTACAGAGTTGTCTCCCTCTCCTCAACTCCTATAAAGCTTGGAATTGACATTTGCCCATTCAACAAGCATCCATTGTTTAGGCAATGGAATATTGGTGGAAAGGAAGGAGGGAAGGGAATAGACAGACATTGTCCTGATTCCCACAGAAGCTCATTATCCAGTGTAGGAACATCAATTTATAGGACACTAAGAAAAAAAAAATGCAGTGTTTTACAAAAAGATATTCAAAACCCAATTCTGATTTAAAAAGTCAGCCAAAGCTTCCCAGGGGAAATGACACCTAAAGCTGTAACTTGGACGGCATATGTTAATTAACAGACAAAGAGATGGAGAGACTGACAGACTGACAGATGTCTTCCTGTCAGAGAAAACTGCTGTGCACAAACTCAGAAGAAAATGAGCCATCATTGAGATTGCTGAGCCATTAGCCCTGGAGACTGTAAACTTGAATTTCATCAGGGATCAGGCAGATAACAGAAAGGTCAAGTGCAAGACATAAAATAGTGAAGAGATCGGTGATCAACTAAAGAATTCAAATCTCACCTAAAGATTTAAATTAGGCTTATGTCTTCTCACCACCTTCCCTGAAAAATATATTTTGAGCACTTACTGTGGTCTCAGTAAGATGGCCGCTGTGGCATAACTATCATGACACCTTCTTTCACTCCCAAAAGAGAAATAATGTGGTCATTTCTCATCAGAGTGCTGAGTCCATTGAATAACACAGAAGAAAATATTGGTCTTCCAAACATAGCTCAGAGAAGTTAGAAACTGCTATAGACAAGGAATGTTTTATGATGGAGGAGTCTCAAAGCTGAGGCTTCAATAAAACCTTTCTGAATTAATGGGAGATAGTTTAAGAGTGAAGCTGGCCTACTTTGAGATGCAGATGTAGAATAATCATAATGTGTGATAAATCCACAAGGAAAAATTAAAATGATAATGTTAGTCCCTGAGAGGTAAATGACTAGCAGTAGGTAGAAATGTTATAGGACAGGGAGAGGGGCAGCCCAAACCCCGCAAACCTGCCTATTCTACATGGGTTCTGCCATCCGCCGCATCAACACAAAACATAGGAGACTTTAATGGGAAGGAACTTTAATAAAACTAGGAAACAATACAGGTAAGGCAAAGAGTCTAGTTTCTAGTTTCTAGTCTAGTTTCTAAATGAAGCATCCAGAGTTACCCGTCCCCTCGTGGGTAAAAGTCCATCCAAATGGGATTGGCCCAGAACAAGGCCCCAAAGCCTGCTACAAGTCTAAAGCATCTTCCAGTGGGAACCCACAGAAAAGGGTCACAAACAACTGGACAAGCCCGGAAGGAAAAGAGCAAAATCAACATCAAGATAAAAGCTGCCATTGTCACCTCCCCACGGGTCTCACCCACATCTGTGTCACCCAGTCCACGACCAAAAGACAAGCAGTTTCTTCACGTGTCTCTAGGCTCCATGCGCCTCCTCCAGGTCTCCTTGCTCCATCCTGCTTCCTTCCTCCGTCTCTTCCTGCAGCTTCTTCTCTTCCTGCTCAGCTCCACCCTCCCTTGGGTGGGGCAGGGAACCTGGAACTTCCTTCCCCCTTTCCTGGGGACCACCCTGTTACAGAAAGATCCAGAAAAAAAAAATACTTAAAACTTTAACTTAAAATATAAGAGAGAGCTCTCTGGGGTACACCCAGAGAGATTTTGGCTCTCAGAGAATCTAGTTTAGGAATGCTCTCAGGAGGGGTGGGGGGGACACTGCAAATAGTCCAGCAGTCAGCGTGGTGCTATTGCCATGCTACCCACAGCTTTGTGGCTCATCCCACTTACTCCATCCACTTACTCCATAGACTTTAGGCAAATGCTGATGAATTAACTGAATGGATCTCCTTCCCAGGCAACTGTTCAGGCAGTGAATGCCATCGTGCAGCCCAGCCAAGACTCCCTGCTCTCAGCCCTGCAGCAACTGAGACTGTCCATTCAGGACATCACCAGAACCTTAGGACAAATGCATGGTATGGGCCTCTTGAAACTCAGAACTTGGGGAAAATGGCCTGCAGGTAGAGAAATATCCACAAGATGGCGCTGGTGGGTTAGCTTTGTTTCAAGGTAAACTTGCTATTTACGATAGTGGAGAATGATGTCTGTCTCAATTTGTAGGTTTGTGCTTTACATTTTCTTGTGATTATGGTAGTTCCTGTTCTTTGGAAGCAGTATATTCCTTTGCATGATGAGGTCCTGCAGGGCAGAACCGTACCGAGTTGTCCTTACACTCTCTTTCACCTTTTCATTCTGAGATAACTAACCTTGCCTTTCCACCTTATCTGAGGGGACTTGCAGAGCTCCTGTCCTGTGGCTAGTGCAGGATAAGCCAGCATAGGTGTGTTCTGTTAGCAATTACAACTTATCTCAGTGACTACATTCCTCTTCCAATGCCTGGGCAACTCTTCAATTTCTTGTCTGAAGTACATGAGAAATGTGCCTGGTGTTTGTTCAAGGAAGGTACAGGAGAGGGGTGTGAGCTGTTTAACAAGGAAAAACACACAACTATTAATTTCCCTGAATCCTGCTTCTCTGAAAGAAAGGGTTTCTGACAAAAGAGGGTGTTTATGGGAAACAGGATAAGAGGGAAGAAGAGTGAGGTCAGTTGGTGCTCAGCATTATACTGCCTTTCAGTAAGAAAGCAAACAATAAATTTGCCACCTCAGACTGTATTCGTCCATCTGAAGTCATACAGTCGTGTGTCATTACCATCCAGCTTCCCTGTTTTACATTTATATTCTCATTTTCTCTGTTTCCCTGAATTGTAATTTCAAAGTCCTTCTGATCACATCTCCTCCCAAACAAGCTCTGCACACTTTTTTTTTTTAAAGATTGATTTATTAATGCATACAAGAGCTAGGGCACAGGCCAGAGGTGTCTGTGTGGGGTGGGGGTTGAGAGAATTCACCAGAGACAAAGCAGGGAACAGAACAGGCAGATCGACAGAGGTACCCTGCTGAGGGGAGCGGTGACCGAGACAGGAGAGGTCTGCTGCCCCATGTGGGTAGCCCCCTGGCTGACCAGGGATCGAATTCTGCTGCAGAGGCTGCAGACAGCTTCACAGGCTGTGTCTTAACCCTTGTGCCACCAAGAAGCAGATGGATTTTCTCTTTGCCAGGACACTGAGTTTATTACCCAGATACCAAGACCACGAGAGTTACTCACAGGGTCTCCAGGTTTACTAATGAACACATGTGGGTAGTTTGGAAGGCCACTCGAGGCCCTCCACCTTGTCACAGTGTGCGCTACAAGAGGAAGGCATGTGCTCCTGTTTAGTTTCATTTTCAGAGTCATTTCTTTGTCCCAGCCCAACCCAAAGTCGTTGGGTTGTCCTCTGCAGGAGGTCTGATGGTCAGGCACAATGCCAGAGCTACTTCTCTTGTTTCCTCCACAGGCAGATTCTCACACACAATTTATTTGAATGGTTTTACTACTAGTCACTATAGTGAAATAAATTAATGTGCCAGACTGCATTTGTCAAAGACAACCACAAGGACCTCTTTCTTCCCACATGCTCCCTTACAAAGCAACCTGGATATTCTCCCATTGTTTGTAATAGAGGTGGGCTTGTAATGGCCTGGAACCAGGGAAATGCAGTAGAAGAGAGTGCAACTTCCAAGGCAAGGCTTCCACCTTGAATACTGAGCCACCATGGAAAAAGTCCAATTCTTCTGAGGCCAGTGTGCTGTGGCAGTTCACCAGAGTTGTGTGTACCCCACTGGCATCTGGCCAGGTGTCAGATGAGCTTTGGATGACTCCTGGTACCTACCTTCAAATTACCCTCAGCCTCCAAGTCTTCTCAGTTGAAGACCCAAACACAGTGAAGGAAGGACAAGCTATGTTTAGTCTAGAGTCCTGATCCACGGAATTTATGTGCATAATATAATTGTGTTATGCTGCTGAGTACCTCATGTTGTCATAGTAACCAGAAAAAAATGATTATAGAAATAATAATTATTGAAAATTTCAGGAATCACACAATTTTTGTAGTCATTGTTTCTGTTCTTAACTTTCTTCTGCATGACTAACAAGCTCAGCTGCTCTTCTTCCTTCTGCTTTTATTTTCAAAAAAAAAAAAAACCCACATTGCCCTTTCTGAGTCTAGTGGTAGCAAGAACCCTGAACGCTGCCCTCTTACTCCAGGAATACCTTCTGTCCAGGCCCTTAGGGCACATGGCTGAGGAGAAGACACCCTTTATTTTCAGGTTGCAATTAGCATTTCTGAGAACCATTATGCAAAGACCTAGTCAATAATTTTTGCCTACTTCACACTTTTCACAGTTCTCACCATTGACTGGTAAGTAAAGCCACATTCTGTTCTATTTTCATGTCCTGCCTCCTCTTACAGCTGAAGTTCCTATCACACTAGGCACGTGAACAGATGGTGTCAACACAATGGCCTGTTTTGTGCTGATGTGGTCACCTGTGGGATCTGTAAATGGCTCTTCTTTTCCTGATGGTTACAGGGATCCAGGTCTGAGCTTTTTTCTCCACTGGGTGCATTTTCAGATTTTCAAGCATCCGGATTAAATAAGCTTGTTTTTCAGCCTTTGTATTAATAATTTTTGTTTTCTGAGAATTAAATTTCTCTTAGGATGCATTGAGGCATTTTCTCTCCTAAAAGCCTTGGAAACTTTTGTATTTCCTTATGAATCAACACAAAATTTCAAGCTTTTGCTTATGTATTGGTGGCAACAAGAAATTTTTTTAATTGAGGTAGCATGAGTTTATAACATCTAGAGCTCAGGTATACAGACATATATCAACATCGATATATATTATACTTCCTGATGCTGGGCACCAAGTCTCCTTTCCACCCATCATCATACACAATTTACCTACCTCATTGCATAGAGAAAAGGAGTCATAATGTTTCTTTCTAACAATCAGATATATGTTTAAATCAGATTTCTAAGTTTTCTTTTCTTTTTAATTACCGTATTGGTTTGCCCTACTGTACGGATTTCAGGAGTATAGCTTCTCTCCTCTGTAAATGTATATGCCACACCACACCTCCTACTGACGTTTTATTTTAAGATCATTTAACATTATCCAGCTGATCGCTTTTCCCTACTTCTCCTTTCCCCCTCCCCTCTGATCGCCACAATTTGGTTGTCAGGGTCTAAGCATTTGTTTTGTTTTATTTGTTTTTGTTCATTTGCTTTGCTTCTTTATGTCCCACATGAGTGAAATCATCACATTTTCTTAATCAGTAAATTCGTGCCATCCCCTCTGATTAGTTCACTTAATTTTGTCTAAATACTTTTCCTACTTAGCTTGTGAATTTATTTTGTCTAAACCCAATGGGAAAATAATGAACACTAGAGTTTTTCTATGCTAAATTCCATATGATATAGTCATGCTCACATTTCTAGAATTGTATTCACTCATGGATTAGTTACAGACAGGAACCTGAATACTCCCAAGTCATCTGGGCCACCATCTCTTACCTTAAATTCTGTTTTATTATATCAGTGCATCAAGTTTGCAAGCATTCAACATATGTTGAATTGGTTTCAGAAAACCAATTCTTAAAATATAGAAGAGTTTCATAAATTTTCAGACAATTTCTTAGGGATATAGGAAAGACTTGAATCGCCTATGATACATCAAAAATATCTAGGAACTCCCTGTTGGTACAGGAGGTTAGAGCACAGCACTATGGAGTGGTCCGCAGACTCTGCAGTGCGTGTTCTATCCCCAGCCAGGGAGCAACCCACATGGCGCAGTAGACCTCTCCTGTCTTGCCCGCTGCTCCCCTCAGCAGTGTATTTTGGACAGTCTGCTTGTTCTGTTCCCCACTCTGTCTCTGGTGAATCCTCTTACCCCCAGAATCTCTGGCCTGTGCCCTAGTTCTTCTTTTTTTTTTTAACTTGAAACAAGCAGAAAAATTTATTACTCTTGGGTTGGTTGAGACTATAAATCTTTTTTTTTTTTTTTTTTTTTTATTTATTTATTTGTTTGTTTGTTTGTTTGTTTGGTTTATACATGCACTGGGTACAGTCAGAAGCGCGGGAGGGTGAGAGAATTCACCAGAGCCAGAGCGGGGAGCAGAGCAGGCAGAAGGACCGAAGTACACTGCTGAGGGGAGCAGCGGGCGGCAGGAGAGGTCTGCGCGCCATGTGGGACCCTCCTCCGGTGGCCGGGGAGCAGCTGGGGATCGAACCGGCGCCGCAGAGGCTGCGGGCAGCATCGCAACCCAACGCTCAACCGCTGCGCCACCGGGGAGGCCCGAGACTATAAATCTTTATCAATGTTTAACGCAACATTAGATAGCATCGGCTCATCAAGCTCCTCCACTCTCCTCAAGTTAGGCGCCCCATACCGGTCGCTAATTTCAGCTAGTGTTTTGCCTGATTCCTCTAAATGGGGGGGCATCTTCACCCTTAATTATATTTTCCATATTCATTCTTGCCTCCTTCTCCATTATTTCTTCTATTTTCTTTAATTCTTCTATTCTCGCTCGCTCTTTTTCTTGCATTTCCAGCTCTAGCTGGAAGGTCAGTTGTTGCTCCTGAAACCTGAGCTCCTCTGCTTTGAGCCTCTCCATCATTTCCTGCTCCATTAGAGCTATTTCTCTTTCACGTTTCAACTCCACCATTTCCTTTTTTCTCTTGCTTGCTCTGCGGTATATTTTCTTTATACTTGCAAAGCCACAATGCTAAATATTCTTTTTTTTTTTAATTTTTTTTAAAGATTTATTTAAATCTTTAAAAAAAAAAAAGCACTGGGTACAGTCAGAAGCGCGGGAGGGTGAGAGAATTCACCAGAGCCAGAGCGGAGAGCAGAGCAGGCAGACTGACGAAGTACACTGCAGAGCAGCAAGTGGCAGGAGAGGTCTGCTCACCATGTGGGACCCTCGCCCAGTGGCCGGGAATTGAACTGGCGCTGCAGAGGCTGCAGGCAGCTTCGCAACTCAGCGCTCAACCACTGTGCCACCGGGGAGGCCCAACGCTAAATATTCTATTGGATC